CCGTCGTGGCAGGCATCAGGAAGCCCCCTGCTCATAACGCGGGCTTGTATCGACAATTGCCGCCACTGGCTCCGCCTTGTTTCTCAAGCGGTGGCAGCATATCGGCGAGACTGATTGATTCCAGAGCATTGAAAACAGCGTCGTTGACCTTATCCCAATGCCCTGAGAGGGAGCAAAGTGCACCCGCATCGCAAAAACGTCCGTTGACGCAGGCTGTCACTTCAATCGGACCGTCGACCGATGTGATAACCGATGCGATCGAGATATCCTTTAGAGGGCGACCAAGCCTGTATCCACCCCGCGCACCGCGGTAAGATGTAACAAGCCCGTCCCCCACCAGACCTTTGAGGAGCTTCGCGACGGTCGGCTCGGGGACACCGGTTGATTGTGCCAGCGATGACGCCGTCGCGAGATTGTCCAATCGACCTAATTGCACCAGAAGCACAGCCGCGTAATCAGCAAGTTTGGATAATCTGAGCATCGCTTTCCTCAAAAATCGCAGCCTTTACATTCAAGACTGCATGAGTCCTCTTTCATGAAGGAGATGGACCTCATGTCCCGGACAGTCAAGGCTTTTTTTAGATTTTTCGTTGGGGATCAGCCCATTGGGAAGTGAAATGCCCGGCTCACAGCCTCGAGAATTGCGCCAATCGTAAAGCCGACAAGCGTGCCATTGATCCGAATATACTGCAGATCTTTGCCAATACGCTCCTCTATACGATGTGCCAAACTCGCACCATCCCATTTAGACATGACATCGGTGACGTAATTTGCGAGGTGGTCCCGGATATTTGGCAGCATTCGCGTAAACGCCGTCGAGACCGTGCCGTCCACTTTCTGGACGAGCGCATAATCATGCCGGAGATAACGGGATAAGCTCATCAGCGATGCGTCGATAAAACCGGCCGTCACGCCATCATCCTGATGGCTGTCCTGTTCAATGCGCGTCCTAAGACGCCGCCAGATCTGACCGCTCCAGGCGAGAATACTGTCGTGGCGCAAAATCTGAGTGAGAGCTGTTTCAACCTTTGCCCGACGCTCAGGATCCCTCTCCAGAAGATCTATTTCCTTCCTCAGCCATTCCGTCACATTTTCACGGACTTCAGGGTCGGACGGATCGATTCTTTGCAGTTCATTGTAAAGTGAAGTGATGACTTTTTGGGCAACGGAGGGGCCGATCATCCATCCAACCACGCGCCCGCCCTGCTCAGTGACCCGCCTCTGGATAAAACTTCGCAAGGTGTCTTCTTTTTCCTCAAGCGCATTTTTGAGACGTAAAAGGAGGAAGGAGAGCGCTTCTTTGTGAAGGTCATCCTGCACAAAACTGCGAAGTATTTTGACGACCAGCGGGCCTGTGGCTTTTCCCTCAATGAGCATCGCAAAACTGTTGCGGATCGCCGTCGCCGCTGTGCCATCCTCAACACGATCCAGTCCCATCGACAGGATTCGCTGTATCACTCTGACGCATGAGGCCCGAAATACCTCATCTTGCAAACGTGAGGCAATTTGCGATGCAGGTGAAAAAGCGTCGAGTGCGTGACGAACCTCCTCTTCTCCGAAGAATTGGGAGGCGATGAATCGACCCGTCGCATCCGCGAGGCGCGATTGTTGTCGCACCAGTATGGCCGTATGAGGGATAGGGAGGCCAAGCGGATGTCGGAACAGGGCTGTGACAGCAAACCAATCCGCGATGCCCCCGACAAA